TACACCTGGAAATTCTGATCATTCACATGAACTTATAGGCCCATTGTCTGCCAACCCTATATATGGTCTTGGATACACTGTGATTTTCTTTTGGGGTCTATCCTGTTTGGGGTTTGTTAGACTCCGTGCATGGATATATTCTCATCTTTCATTATATCAGGGAAGTTCTTTCTAAACAAATCTTGGTCAATGTTCTCAGTGGTTTTCTTTTTCTCTTCCTGTTCTGGAATTCTGATTACATGTAGGTTATTCCTCTTGATGGTATCCCTTGTGAATCTTAGGCTTTCATCATTTTGTTTTGATCTTTTTTCTGATTGATCCCTTTCCAAAGAAGTATTCAGGTGTTTGTCTTCATTCTCACTGATTTTGTCTTCCATTGATTCGGTTCTACTCTTTTGCCCTTTCAATGTGTTAATCTATTTCTGAAATATTAATCTTCTGGATTTCTATATGTAGCTTTTGTGTCATTTCTGATCTTTCATTTCTTTTATCATTTTTTTCTTGTATTCTGAAATTGTTCTAGGGTTTTGTCTGTGTTTTCCTTGATCTATCTCTCAATCTGTTGAAGGGACCTAAATATAATTATTTTTAATTCCTTATCAGGAAGTTCCAATGCTGCTTCTTCCTCAGGGATGTGTTCTGGGTCTATCCTGGTCCCTTGTTTCTCCTGCTTTATCTTGCTTCTTTGTGTGGACTGTGATGGTCTTTTGTCTCCAAGACATTGTGACTTTGTTGTATTTATATTTAATTACTTCCGTAGTGATACTTCCTCAGAAACCCAAGGAGGGGTCGCTATGAGTCGGATCTGACTCGATGGCACATAACAACAACCGTGATTGTATGATGGAGTGATTTGCCCAAGATTTTTGTTTTCTTTGTTTTGTTTGCTTGTATCTGAGTAAGCAGGGTACTGTGCTTCTCTGTTCATTAGTTGGCAGCAGTTATGCACTCACCACCTGTCTCCTGGTGTGTGTGATAGAAAATGAGAGTGGCTGCAGAGATCTCTATTAACTGTTTGTGAAGAGCAGTTAAGGGTGAGCCAGGCTCTTATTGGTGGTTGCGTATCATTGGCCAGTTAGTGCAGAAAGAAGTGGTGGCTCTCACTCATTAAATGGAGCTGCAGGAGGTGTGGGTGTGGTTGGGTGGTATGAGCATGATTGCTGTCTTCCAGTCAGACAAAAACAACAATTGAAAAACCATCAAAAAAGTAAATGCAAGAGGACAAAATACACACAGTGCATAAACCCACAGAACAATCGTCACCAAAAAGAGAAGCAGGAGAAAAAAAGAGGAAAGGCAATAAATGAGAGAACATATTTAAAGAAATATTAAAAAAGCCAAAAAAATACATAAATAAAAAAGGGGGGAAAAAACCCACAATAAGACAAAGGAGGTAGAGTAGAACAATAATGAAGGAAAAAAATGGGAAAAATGCAAAAAGTAAATAAGGAATGGGGAGAACCACAAGAAAGAAAAAATGGGAACCAGGAAAAGGGAAGAGAGAAAAAGTCAAAAACTAGAACTTGGGAAGGGAAGAACAAACAATAGTAATAAAAAGGACAAAAAAGAAAATAATAATGATAATTTTCAAACAGACAAAAACAAACAAACTGAAAAAAAAAAAAAACCTGGGCAGGGCAGGACATCCATGTTCTGTCAGAGCACACAAATTGAGTTGGAATTCCTGCCAATCCAGAAGGTGGGTGGGATTGCATATGTTCACACCTCCGTTCATCCATAGAGTGGGAGCTATAAGAGTAACAAGGGAAATGTTGCACCTTTCCAGTCCCCAGTGTCCAGAATGTCCTTGCGGTCCCCAGCAAGTGGAATCTATTCTTAGGTCCTTGGAATCTGAGAGTACGCTGTCACTTTAAATATCCAAAATGATCAAACTGCTTACAAATATTCAAAATGGCTACACCCTCCAGACAGCCAGAAGTCCACAGCTCAGCTCGTCTCCCTCTTCACTGAATCCCCTTTTATTCACCAGCCACAGTGTGGTCCTCTGTGCAGCCCCTGGCCAGCAGGACCAATTTTTAACACCACTTGGCAATATCCAAACTGTCCGTGGCATCAGGATCACTCACAGTCCGCAGCTCCGTATGTCTCTTTTTTTGGTGTTTTCATGCAGGTTCTTCTGGTAGTTGGAGTTTAGTCCACTTTTGTATCCTTCATTTCAAAGCTCAGGGCTCTAGGATTATCTTCTGTATCTGTGTTAACTGGTTCCTCTTTTTTTTGTTGAAAAGGGTCTGTATCATTTGTCTGCTTATTCTGCCATCTTACCAGAACTCTGATCTTGCTTTTCTTAATTTGATCAATGCTTTCACACCTGTGTTTATGGAGAAATATCTTCCCTTTTTAGTCTTACATATGCCTTAAGCATTTCCACATTGCACATATAATGCGTCCAGTTTTCGTACATTTCTCTCTAAACTGCACCATATTTTAACTGTTGTTCTCAAAATTGATGGAAATATTTCTTAGAAAATTGCTTTTTGGCTATTACCAAAGACCTAAAGTAGCGAAATGTATTATTCTTCCTTTGTTCATAGCTTCCTCTTTCCTCCTAATAATTCCTTTCCTTTTTGTCTCATCTTGTGACCCTCAACTTCAAACATCGGGTCAGTTTGTCAAAACTTGAATGATGGAGAAAAGCTATTAAGTGAATATCTAATACTGGAATTCATGAAGAAGGACAGTTGGTTCTCGCGGTTTGGAGAAGTCAGTGAATTGGATGGCATTGAAGATCGGCATAAAAATCAGGAAAAATGTATGAGGTGAGTATCATTCACATGAGATAGAGCAGCGCCTCAGCAGAAAATCTTAAGGTGTGATGACATCAAAATAGACATGCATGGAGCTCAGGTTGCATAGTGGATAAGGCATTTGGTTGCTAACTAGAAGGTCAGTGGTTCAAACCCCTCAGCTGCTCTGTGGAAGGAATATAGGGTAATTTACTTTTGTAAAGATTTACAGTGTTAGAAAACCTAATGGGGCTCACTGGGAGTCGGAATCGACTTGATGGCAGTGAGTTTTTCATATTTACATGCATGTATAAATATATATATATATGTGTGTGTGTGTGTGTAAAATTCTAAAATTGTATGTTCATATTATGTTCACAGAATTTTTCATGAATATGAGTTAGATGTTGAATATTTGAAATATATTTCACTTGAACATAATTTTCAAAAGCCTCTTATTTTGGAAAACCTCTGACACTAATGGTAGACTCTCTGCAAGATGATTGAACCTATGAAACATGAGGCAACTTAGAGTAAAAATCATAAACATTCACTGTGTTTGGTCCTTGTGAAATGGGAACAGATTTAATCCTAACAGTATGCGGCCTGTTTTTAACAGAAGTCAGATGATAAAGGACCTCTATGGAAGTAATGAAGAAAATCAAGGTGGAAAACCATTCACCCTGACTCTGAATCTTCCTGTGTTCAAAAGAACTCCTGCTGTTGTAAATTCTTCTGAATGGCATGAGTGTGAAAAATCTTTCATTGAACATTCATCACTTAAACATCCTATCAGCTGTCACGGTGGTTGCAGTAGTTACGAATGTCAGAAACGTGGAGAAGCCTGCAGTCCCTTGGACCTAAGCACTCTTGTAAGAACTCTTCCTGAAGAAAAAGTCTATGAATTTAACAAATGTGAGGAAGATTTCTGTTGTTTCTCATCCTTGTGGACACACATGAGAGGTTTTAAGTGTGAATATAAAGCACGTTCAAAGAGCTTTCCCTCATCTTCCCTTTTACATGAAAATTTTCATATTGGAGAGAAGCCTTATGAATGTAAAGATTGTGGGAAAGCCTTCAGTCATCCCTCATTCCTCCCTATACATATAAGAACTCACAGTGGTGAGAGACCTTATAAATGTACAGAATGTGGACAAGCTTTTAAAGATCCCACTTCCGTCACTAATCATACAAGAGTTCACAATGGAGAGAAGTCTTATGAATGTACAGATTGTGGGAAAGCCTTTAGTTGTTCCTCAACCCTCACTCAACATATAAGAATTCACAGTGGAGAGAGGCCTTATTATTGTAAGGAATGTGGGAAATCCTTTAGTAAGTCCTCAAATCTCACTAGCCATATAAGAACTCACAGTGGAGAGAGGCCATTTGAATGTAAGGAATGTGGAAAAACCTTTTTTCGGTCCTCCCACCTCAATCTCCATTTCAGAAAGCACACTGGAGATAAGCCTTATGAATGTAAGGAGTGTGGGAAAACCTTTAGTTTCTCCTCATCCCTCTCCAGACATATAAGAACTCACACTGGAGAGAGGCCTTATAAATGTATGGAGTGTGGAAAAGCCTTTAAATCTTCCTCATACCTTGCTACACATACAAGATTACATAATGGAAAGAGACCTTATGAGTGTAAGGAATGTGGGAAAACCTTTTATCATTCCTCCCATCTCACTAGCCATTTCAGAAGGCACACTGGAGAGAGGCCTTATGAATGTAAGGAATGTAAGAAAGCCTTTGGTAATTACTCAACCCTTATTAGACATATAAGAACTCACACTGGAGAGAGGCCTTATGAATGTAAGGTATGTGGGAAAACCTTTATTCAGTCCTCAGCCCTCACTGCACACATAAGAATTCACACGGGAGAGAAGCCTTATGAATGTACGGAATGCAGGAAAACCTTTAGATATTCCTCATCCCTCGTTATTCATATAAAAACTCACAGGGAGACCTTAGGAATTTAAAGAATGTTGCAAGTCCTCTATTAATTCCCAACACCTCACTAGAATTATAAGAATACAGAGTGGAGAAAGACATTAGGAATATATAGAATGTGGGAAATCCTTTAGTGAGTCCTCATCCCGTACTAGACACATAACTCAAATTGGGGAGAGATCTTATGAATATAAAGAATATGGAAAAGGCTTTATTCACTCCTCAGTCCTTACTGAACCTCAGTAAACTCAAATGTGGAGAGACATGAATATAAGGAATGAGACAAAGCTGTTATTCATAGGTCTTACCTCACAGAACACAAAATAAGGCATAGTGAGGAGAAAGCTTGTGAATGTAGAGAATGCAGAAAAGTCTTTACTTATTCCTTCTTGTCTGTAGGCATACTAATTCACCATGGAGGTTGTCCTTTCCACTGATAGCTGGCCCAAGTCATGGCCTTTGTAGCAGCATCCCACTCAGCTGCTTTTTTGGCACCAGTTTTCTGTCTTCACTACCATTTCTGCTGTTAGCTCCCTGCTCCTGGGCACCTTCCTGGGTATTATAGCTCTTGCCCCATAGTACACCTCTTTTAGGAGGTTCCCTTCTCTCTTTCTGCCCTCTTTTGGTGTTGCCACTTACATAAGCAAACTCTTTGTCAATTTTAAGCCATAGTCTCCCTACAGGACTATGACTGACCAATCCACTTGGTGGGCTGCAAGTCACCCAATCCTGTCTGGTGTATTGTGAAGCCCTTATTTGAATAGCAATCGATTGATCTCTGTGAGATGTGTTAAATAAACCAGTTACAGAGCAGATTGTAGCACAACCAGTCTTTTTTTCTTTTTTCAGTATTACAAACCCACAGGCGGAAAAACCATGTGTAAGAGAAACCCATTGCACTGCAGCAAAGTATAAGATAGTGTGTTACATGATACTGTCAGCATATGAAACATTTGTGTATTAATGTTGTAAGTTTTAGATACCAGCAGTGTTGTAGAGACATGGATTAACAGGGATTTTCCTATGGAGGTGATAATTATGATTGCTTTCTTCTCTCATTTTGCTCTCCTCAGTTTTCAATTTTTTTTTACATTCACTGTTCATTTCCTATGAAAAAACTTTTTTCTTTTAAGTTTAAAAAGAGCAATTTACTTTTGGAATCTGAGTTGACAAATGCATGAAGCCTCATAATCATTTGCAAAATGAAAGTACAGAACAGTACCACTCTTCCCACCAAAATTCTCCCTGGTGCTGCCCCTTTTTTGTCAAACTTTCACCTGGCCATAAATCCTTACCAGCTGTCACTCTACATACCATGTATCTTGTGTGTAGCCTTTTTATTCTAGCTCTTTTCACATAGCATAATGTATTTGAAAATCATCCATGTTGATGAATGTATCTCTAGGTTGTTCCCTTTAATTGATGTTTAGAATTCCATTGTATGGCCATAGGATAGTTTGTGTTTTTGCCAGTTGAAGGACATTGGTACTTCTAGTTGTTGTGAATAAAGCTGATATAAACATTCCTGAACAGGTTTTATGTGAACTTAAACTTGTGTATATCCCCAGAGGGAGGATTACTGTCATGGTAGGTGTATGTTTCGTTGTAGAAGAAACTGCCTGTGTCCATGGAGGGAGAGGAAGACATAGAGAGGTGCATGGGAGGTACAGCAACAAAAATGAACCCTTTGCACACGTAGTACTGCGTTGTCAGTGATGACAAACGTTTATAGATGGGTGGACAAGTAACGATTAGGTATGTCTATGCAGGGGGGTGTGCCCAAGACCATGTATAGAGTTGGCAGACAATGTTTCTACAAGTGTATTGCTATGTTCTGTAAGAATTCCCAGGTGTATAGTAGAGCTGACAAGGGACAAGATTGTAGTTGCTTCTTGGGCACAGCTAGCTCCCCAGAGGGAGTGAGTAGTTGGACCTGTGGGCTCAGGACCATAGTCGCAGAGGACATCAAGCTCAATTGGCATAATGTACTACACAAAACATTGTTCTATAGTCTACTTTGGCGAGTAGCAACTGGGATCTTTAAAGGTTGCAAGCAGACATCTATATGCAACAATGGGTCTCTCCTCATCTAGGGCAAAGAAGAATGAAGAAAACAAAAGATGCATGGAAACAATTAGTGCAAGTGACTGGTACACCGTGTGATCCTCAGCCTATACAACTATGAGATCAGAAGAACTAGAGGGTACCCAGCTACCACAGTCAACCACTTGGAGGAGGATTGATGTAGGAGAGCCTAGATACAGTAGAACAATGTGGAACAAAAGTAAAAAATCATTGAAAAAAAAGCACCAGATTTGCTGGTCTGATAGAGCCTGGTGAAACCTCTGAGACTATGGCCCCTAGCTGCCCTTCAGATCTGGAATTGAACCCGCTCCTATGGCTTCCAGCCAAACAAAAGACAGACATATGAACTGAACATTTACATTAGGTAGATACACTCCTTGGAGAGAACAATCATGGGAGAACAGAAGGGCTGTTTATGCACAGGGAGACAGCTCAGGGGGCAGGAGTGCATGGGAGGGAAGGACACAGGAAAAGGTAACTATAGGGAAGAAGTGGGAGGGGAGCTTTTGCATTATGGGAAATTGCAGTCAATGTCATGAAACAGTATGTGAACTGCTCTATGTAAAATGAATTTGCTCTGTAAACTTACCTAAATCACAATAAAAATAAAAAAACAAACAAACTGCCTATGTGCCTTTAAAGTGGCTGTGCCATTTGTATTGTCACCAGTAAGCCACAATTCCAGTTATGCTGAGATCTAGACAGGCTGATTTCTTGTGTAATTGCTAATGCACTTCTGTTTGCCCCTGGCTTTAAGGTGACGGAAGCATTTACAGGGGCGGCTGTCTTAGTTTCTTACTGCTGCTAGGAAATCATACCTGTGAAATGATTGGCTTAAGACCCACCCTATACTGATGGGTCCATATTAACAAAGAAAACACTTTTCCCAATGGGTTTACATCCACAGTTATACCAACGTCCTCGAGTCCATTCTGCGACACTTTAGGACTGAGTAGAACCGCCCCATGGTGTTTTCAAGGCTGTAAATCTTTAAAGAAGCAGACTGCCTCATTGTTCTCCCACAGAGCAGCTGGTGGCTTTGACCCACTAACCTTGTGGTTAACAGCCCAGTGCTTTAACCACAGCTCCACCAGAGCTCCTTACCCACAGTTACAGAGGTGAGTGTTTACAGCACATATGTTTGGGGAACACAGTTCAGTGTGTAATACTCGTCCATCTGACTGGCATCCCCATATCTGCTGAGGAGAGGGGCTGCCTGTAGCAATCTTGAGACCCATATGCATGGGACGGCAGGCTTTCCTGTCACCCCTGACAGTGCCAGCTCAGTCTGAATCCAGGGCCCAACCAAGACTTTTGGAAAGTAAATGTTTCTACTAGGGTCCCAGCTGCAGGAAGTGGCCATTGTCACAATTCCTGAGGCCTTGCCCATTTCTCTGATCCTGTTGTGAAAACCAGAAGCGGATGTGACATCTGAGTTAGGTCAGCTGCTGGGCAGCCAGCTTACCGCAGTGTGTCCACTCCTGCGTCTGACATGTGATTGCTGGATTGTATGTTGTCGTTATGTGCCGTCGAGTCGGACCTGACTCACAGTGACCCCTCCTTGGGTTTCCGAGGCAGTATCACTACGGAAGTAGATTGCCCCATCTTCCTTCTGAGGAGTGGCTGGTGGGTTTGAA